AGAGGTAGGGGTGATAGAGGAAGTAGAGGAGGTAGAGGAGGTAAGAGAGGTAGAGGAGGTAAGGGAAATAGAAGAGGAAGTAGAGGAGTTATTTAAAACAAGTTCAGCATATTCTGTTCTAAAAATATTATTAAAAATGGTATAATTTGCTTCAGTATTCATATCAGAAGGTAGTAATTCTAGTTTAACTCGAGGGTCAAGGATAGCAGCTATAAATGCTGTTTTGTCATAAATTTTGCTAGCATATTTTTGCATTTTTTCAAACATCTGAGTCGCGGCTGTTTTTAGAAATTCTGAACTTTCTAAATTTTGAATGTATGATGAAATATTATCGACAATATCTTCGATTAGTATAATCGAAATTCCTAAGGTCATATATGTGCTACCAGAAAGAATATTAATGGCTTCATAAAACGGCTTAAGAAACTGTGTTGTGGCGTGAAGATTGGTTTCTTCTTGTAAGGTGAGTTTGAATTTATTGAGGTTTTTATTGTGTCTGATTATAGCTGAAATTGTTGTAGGCATAGTTATGTAGGTTGAAAGCATAAGATAAGTACTATTCTAGCGGGTTGAAACATCCTGTAGAATTTTACAAGTTGCTTCACCTTCACCAACCGATTGACCGAGTTCTTTAAATTCCTGAGTTATAGATGATGATGATGAGATAACATTAACAAAATTACACACTTTTTCAATTAATTGTTTAATAGGCGATAAACCAGTTGTAACGATAATATTCAAGACATGTGCCAAGCAGCGATGAGATTGAAAGTGAAAATTATAATTATTTAAAATCAAATTATCCTTCAACAATCACATTGCCAAAATTACATTAGAACCTCCATTGGTAGTAGCACAAAGAAGCTTGTTAGTAATATTAAAAGCCGCAAGAACAGAGTGCAATTTAGTATCAATTTCATTACCTCTATATGAATGAGGGAGTATACAAATATCAAGTAAGATTTGCTTAAGATTCTAGTCACTATCTATCCAATATACTGTGATACAAATAAAAGGCACATTAGCACAAGAGGTCCAAATATCTAATGTGATAGAAATTTTACTAGAAATTTGTTCAAGAAGAGACTGAATATCTTTTTTCATTACAGCAAAGGCTTTTTGAATGATAGACTTAATAATATCACGTGAAGGCACGTACATACTAATATTAAGATATCGGATCATAGCAGCAAATGATTGGCTTGAAACAATAGAAAAAGGTAAAGTATCTGATATAATCCATTCAGCTACTAACATATTAAATTTAGTTTTTTGAGCTGTTGTGAGAGTTTGTTTTAAAATTGTAGCTTCAGGAAAAAACGTAAGAATTTGTTGAGTTGGCATTGGTTTGTTCGTTTCCCAGCCCGGATGTCAAGAGTCAAGGTGTTTACGTAAGTTACCAGTAGCTGTAGTTACGCTA